CCCGCGAAGGCCCTCCCTGGCCCCAGGCAGGCAGGCAGGGGTGGGGAGAGGCAGGGAGGAAGCAACTTATCCTCCCTCTTCTCCTGCCTTCTCCTGGCTGAATGAGGGCCGGAAGCTGGGCGGCCGGAAGCAGGGGGCGGGGCTTCATCATGTGCCCCACCCCCCCGTACCTCACCCGGGGGAACTGCGATCCCCCGCGATCCCCCCCGAAATGACCTCCGTGCCAGAGGATCGAGCAGGCAGGGGTGGGGAGAGGCAGGGAGGAAGCAACTTACCCTCCCTCTTCTCCTGCCTCCTCCTGGCTGAATGAGGGCCGGAAGCTGGGCGGCCGGAAGCAGGGGGCGGGGCTTCATCATGTGCCCCACCCCCCTGTACCTCACCCGGGGGAACTGCGATTCCCCGTCATCCCCCCGAAATGACCTCTGTGCCAGAGGATCGTGAGCTGTGATCCCCTGGCTGACAAAGGTAGCATTCCAACCAACTCCAAACATTCTTGATAACTGGGTGGTTCCAGTGTGGGAATGATTTCTGCAAAGCAGTGAGCATGGTGCTGTGCTTAGAGTATTGGACAAGGATCTGGGAGACCCGGGTTCGATTCCCCACTCTGCCTTGGAAGCTTGCTAGGTAACCTTGGACCAGACACACCCTCTCAGCCTAACCTACCTTTTGGTAATTGAGAGGATAACATGGAGGAGAGGTGAACAATATAAGCTCCCTTGAGTCTCTGTTGTGGAGAAAGGTGGGGTAAAAATGAAGGAAATTGATTAGTAATAGAACAGTCAAGGAGTTGGGCGAAAAGGTATTGTCCTCGATGCATCAGCCCCATCTACACTAAATGTCCACTGATACCCCTTTCCTGGGAAATTCTCTGTTGGGTAAAACCAATATTAGGGGGAAATTCCCTTTCTGGTCCACATCTCTTTCAGTGAAAGAAGGTTTTTAAAATAATTCCCTGCAACAAAATATATGCATAGCAACATGTAGGTATGAGGTAGGATGTGCAGGTTAGTGTGTCACATCTACTTTTGTGGAGAATTCTGGTGCAACAAAATGTTATCTTCTATGTTCTTTCATTT